AACTGATGGACATGCACAAAGAGACTTGACCCAAACAGAAACTTATGATGTATGCATGAAGTGATTATTTTATACACAGACAGAACTAATAGTTTCCATTTCATATAAATTATTCAAATCATAATTATGCAAGTTTATTTTACAATGTACTGTTGAGGTTGATGCGTACTACCATACTTGACCGCGTTGGCACCCAGGGTCCTCAACTCATAAAATCAGGATTTTTTAGGGGTGGGTGCTTACCCGAGCACCGTGTGACAGATTGAGGAAGATATTATGTCTTTGAAAGTTTGAGGGAAAATAAAATTACGAAATTAGGTGCGTCGTCATTGACTCTTACAATGAAGAAACAGAAATGGTCAAATATGAACATTTTATTACAAAATTAATAACGTACCACCCAAATTTACAAATTGAGTCTGGAACACAGTCAAAAAAAATGTTCATCATTATCGCCACTAACGAATGTGTCAGATTGTATGATAAAAAGTACTTTCCGCGATGATGTATTTGCATTTGACCTGCATCAACGTCCTTTGACCTAATTGGTCAAGTCTGTTATTATCCAATGAAAATGCTGTGTGATATACCAACACAATTCTTCAGAAATTCTCGAAGACTCTCGGGTAACGCAATGCAGAAGTGAATTATTGATGTCGAAATACGATCTGTTGGAATTGATTTCGGCAAATAAACGACATGTTTTTGTTTTTTTTAAATGGTAACTAGCAATTTTTATTGGTAAACTGAATATGCCATGAAATATTTACTGCATTTTACTTTTATTAACAGGTCATTGTGGAAGCATAGTTTACACACGGTTACCGTGGTCTACGCATTCATAACATATTCATGCCGGTCGATATTCACGCTGTATCATGATATAAAAACGATTACCAGTTTTTGTTAGGTAATTATCAAAGACCAAGTTTAAAATTAGTGGCATTTTGAAGGGGTGGGCGCTTTGCCGAATGTGACCCCGAATATAAAAATTGCACAAAAGTGGGGAGTGGGCGCTTGACCGGGCATGGGTGCTAACGGGGTCGAGTACGGTATCTCAAGAATAAATTCTTGGCAGTATTCTTAATAACCATATTTGGTCTATTACACAAATGTAGTCTCATATTTCAATTTCATTGCATGTGAGCTGAAATGCAAGTGTCTTAGCATATGGTATGTGAATCATTTTAATAGGATAAAAGTGCATTAATTTTCCTTCTGATTGGAAAAATAGAGTTACTGCAACAAGTATAGAACAATACATTTGTCCTTTAAAGTTTGGCATGGAATGGACATAAACAAACTCACTATACCTCTGCAAGTCCAAGGTGGGTTTTTTTAATCAATGCTGAGAGGCAACCGCTTAAGGTTCTTGATAGTAATAAATTAGTTGATTTTCGTACCATGTCATCAACTTCTGTATGACTACAAAGACAACATTTTCGCTATGTAAATTCAAGCTATTTGATATTAATATGTGCACATGTGATGATATTCATATAAGAAAGTTATATATTCAAGATGTGCAAATTATACAATACTAGTAAAATGACTCCAGCACTAATACGTCTGAAAACTCGAAGTGATTTCATTTGTTCAACTAATGTAAAAAGAATACAACTACTATCAACATAAGTACCTGAGATTAAGATCTTCTGAGAACTTCAAACATGCATAGATGAACTCTTTTATTTGGCGATACGTTGTAGGAACAAACTCTGAGAATGGTAACCTTTTAGGATATGATTGCTGTGAAAACACATTCAGAAGTTTAATTTCACCATTTGTAAACCAATACACACATCATTTGACTATGTTCCTGCTTAGATCATGTGACGTATTATTCTTGGCCTGATCATGTGACATAGTGTTCTTGATTTAACCTGTTAACATTTGGTAAATCATGGTAATTAAATTATTCATAAGGCTAGTAAACAAATCTCTCTGTGAACTTGTTTTTGTCTGCTTGCCAAATAAATGTGTGTCTTTTTAATTTAATTACCTTCTCAAGTTGTTCATCATAGAAAGGAAATTGATGTGTGATTTCATGATACACCTGAGGTGTTTCCACATACATAGATGTATAATTATCTTTATCAAATATGTCACGGAATACTTGAACCCATTTCTTCATTAATATCTCATTATACTGGTCTTTGATTTCTACCAGTAACTCCAGCAACTTTGATGCAGGAAAACCATAACTCTGAAAAGTTAGAAAATAAAAATACCATGGGATGAGTCGATGAGATAGAGTCTTTAATTAACATGAATAATTTATATCACTACAGTGTGATGTCACAAATACCAAACACTGTCATTGTTCTCATTATCAGCAATATAAATGTATTCATTCTGCCACATATTTCAACATCAAACAAACATTTCCAGCCCATATCTTGGCTTGGATCCGAAACCGGTTAACATTATATCCAGGTTTGAAAGAAACCAAATAAAAAATGTTTGAATTATTGTAACATGCAGAAAATTTGTTATGATTGACAGGGGAAGACATTTTCCCCTCATATAACTTGACCTCCATCTACAATTATACAGACAAGGTAAAAAGTGGTTAGTACACATAGTTGCTATGAGCATGGGACAACAAAATTAAAACTACAGAAACTAATTATACACATTTCAGTAAAATTTGTTTCAGAGTTGTGACATTAGATCCTCAATATGGAATAAATTAGATTACTACCACAAAAATAAAAATAAAAAATAATGAACCAGACTTAACATAGTTTTGTTACTTACAGTTATTGTATGACAGAATAAAACAATAAGATTCTTTATTTCAAGTAGGAGAGTTGCATCTGTACAGTATGCCTGGAAAGAAAAAGAACTTTTTATTACAGCCTTGGCTGTCAAAGTAATGAATCACAGAACACAAATTAGTCATTATTGTCGTGACCCCCCAAAAAAAGGCCTCATAAAATAAGCCATGCATGACACAGTTAGTTATCGAATTTAAGATATATAGTTTTGTTAATAGTAATATAGCTGGAATATAAACATGTCAGGAATATGATAATGATGATTGTTTAACATTTAAATGATTGACATTTGTATCTGATCGTCAAACGAGTATTGAGAGATATTGCTCTGGAACAGCATTAATTAAAACAAAATCAGCCATTTTGAATACATGTATAACGAATATATACAAGCAGCCTGTCGGCTGAGATAGCTCCGCTGTTATCAATGCACATTTCAATTAAAGAACAGAAGCTTTCATCAGAAAATGAACAATATGTATAGTATCAAAGCAATCAGACTTGCTGTTTTCAAAAAAAATTTAAAAATACAAAAAAATGTGTACAACTTTTTATCAAAACTATTCATCAAAATTAGATAATTGAAGAACAAAATCATCCCGAAATGAACAAACCTGTAGTACTTACATATGTAATATCTAAGCAATCAGACTTGCCATTTTAACAAGTCAAAAATATCACTTTTTACCAAAAATGACAAAAATATTCACCAAAATTAGAGAATTAAAGATATCATCATGAAATGAACAAATCTGAGAGAGGTCCACATGTAGTACTTACATATGTAATATCAAAGCAATTGGACTTACGGTTTTTAACAAGAAGTCGAAAGTATCACTTCTTACCAAAAATGACAAAAATATTCACCAAAATTAGAGAATTGAAGATATCATCATGAAATGAACAAATCTGAGAGAGGTCTACCCAAGTTACATATACACCAAGTATCAAAGCATTCAGGCTTGTAGTTTTTAAGAAGAAGTTGAAAAAGTAAAATATTGACACGAACGACGACAGACAATCTGCTCGACAAAGTCGACAGCAGGGCTAAAAGTTGACGGACGATGGACAATCACTCACATGATAAGCTCTGCTCGACAAAGTCAACAATGTAGCAATGATTGAAATTGGTCAAACTTTGTGACAGTCAGTGAATTTTTTGGTTTGCTAAAGTATTTTACGACACATGAATTTAGCAGACTTCATCACCCTCAACAGAAGGTGCTGTGCAGTGGTAAAAAAAATGACAGGTGAAACAAAAATCAGACCACACTGACCAGGTATAAGTAGGCCTAAAAACACATGCTAAATTTGATTCTAGGGAAATAAACTTGGTGGAAATTTGAATTTACATGCACTGTAGCCACAACAAATGACCACAGTGTACTATGTAACAAATAAACACAACAATCAAAATATGATCTTGTCCCAGTTTTTTCTCTAGCTTGCCTGTTTTTTGTTAGTACCCATCCATATTTTAGCAATACTTTAAAACAGATTGTAAACAGTTGTTGAGATGGACTCACTGTAAACACAGTTATGATGATGTAGCCCCTTTGCCTTTGAACAAAACATAATTTAATCATCACATTACATGTTATATAATTTTTTTGTTAATTTTGGACCAATTGAACAAAACCTGAACAAGTGGAAAACTACGGTATTCAAAGGGTTACAGATACTATCTGTACCAATGCAACAATGTATAATACATATTCATATTTATGCAAAATAGGGTATACAGTACTCATTTCGCCCAACCTCCCGCACGCTTCCGGATTTCGATCGCTTTTTTTTCGCTCGCTTTGTTCAATTTCCGCTTTTTTTTCGACCGCGCAAATCCGGAAGTATCCGCTCACGCAATCGCTCACTCGCTCGCTCACTCACCTGACAGCGCAACCGCCCGCATTTACAGTTCATTACCTACTGTTTCATGTACAAGTGTGTCATTTTTGTTTTTATGATGTTAAAATAAGAATAAATACAATCAGAAATTTATAGAACGACCGTTGAAAAAAATAAGGTGGATCACACGGCCATATAAAATTGGTAATAATACATACGCGTAGTAATAATGTCCACCATAAACAAGATCGAACCAAACATGTGAAATCAAATACAACACTGACACAGACACAACTAATATGAAATAAAACCATTCTATTTTTGGTGGAGAGCGAAAAATGTCTACTGTAGAGTACGTTATTCGTTGAGTAATGCACGCATGGTTTGGGTTTAACACGGGTCAAGTTGTAGTTATGTAAATCTATGGCACCTATAACAATTGAAGAATATCTGCAGGAATAGTAAGACTGTGAAAAAAACAACCAATCGATTGTTATAGAATGACAGTAGTGTACAATTTGTCAAACAAATACAATACTTGCAAATGTAATGTCGGCCAGCGCCCATCTTACTTGTCCAAGTTGTCGAAGCCGACATCAATGGAGATCGCGTTTTTTAACTAGGCGGCTGGCAAGCGGACTAACACGTTACATAAACTTGTTGAATTACAATTATGGTTTTTATTTTTGCGCCCAATGTCTCGTTATAAAATAAAGGATTCAAATTTTGCAGGGTATTCCGTTTTTTTGCGAACTCTGGGCGAAATACTTTCATGAGCTGTACGTAGTTCACTTACAGCCAAAACAAAGTCAGCTTGGACATTAAGTTGTGAGACGCGACAAAACAAACGCTCCCAGTGATAGATTACGTGAATAAAAAAACAAAATAAACGCAATCAAAGGCGCCGACCACGCGCTTTGGAAATAAATAGAACGCGTTGCTAAGAGGAATCACACCTGCATCTCGACGTCTCCGGTCATGAGCAGGGTTTGCCGCGTCTTAGAAAAATTGAAAGTTAAAAAAGGAATCAGTGTCGGGGAACCATTCACAATGTTTGCATGAAAAATCCCACGCGAAAGCACTATTCGAATGGTACCTGAATCCCGATTAATTCATAAATATGAATCGGTAAGGGTCAATTTCCTGCAATCCTTTCAAGATTAAATTTGCCTCCGAAAATCTTTCTAACGATGACCTGGAAGATTGCCATGATTGAGTGCCACCATTTCTGTTTTATTCAGTATAATAATACAAATGTTCACCCCAACAGAGGTGGACATACAGTTTTAGCGACCCGAAGAGCTCATTGTCAACCAAGGCGAAGCAGTACGATAAAGACTTTCCGTTCCCAATAAATAATTATAATAAAAAAAAAAAAACTTCTCGTTCCCGACATTATGAAATTCTTTCGTTTTTGGGGAAAAACCCTGGAAAATAAACTGATTTTGACAAGATAATTTAGAAATTGATATTAAGAATAATTCATAACGAAATGTATTCCATATGTACCCATAATTTTTTTTCATAATTACTGATTACACACGAATATTACAGAAAAAAATAATTTGCTATATTATCTATATTTGTGCCTTTTATTTGTCTTGAATCATGACTGAAAGGAGATGGATGAAATTACAAACTATGTAGTGTGTTCGACAACTCATGTATGAACAACAATTTTAATAAATATGATTTTACTTGATAAAATTACTGTAATTTTCTACATAAAAACAAAAGAATTTCACAATGTCTTTATTATCATAGCATTGTTGGTAATAATTGAAAATGATACATCCACGTGAACCTGCCTATATGAGATCGGAGGAGTCTCTGTTTTCAACTTTTACAGTGATCAACATTGCGTTCGAGTCGAGTTTTTAGTAATTACAAGCCTGATTTACATTTTTCTTGCAGTGTTTTTCGTCAATGTATTAATGTATAAGTGCTTTGGGAAATAACATAATTATATTGCGCGAGTGAAAGAGTTTGGTGAGACTGTCACAACACGTTTTATTTATTTCCAACGCGCGTGGTCGGCGCCTCTGATGGCATTTATTTTGTATTTTTGTTTTCAAAATGTATCACTGGCTGCGCTTGTTTTGTTTTCCTCAACAAATTAACTGTTCCGAGATCTCTTTCATTTTTTGTCCGGCTGCTGCCAATCCAATAATTCGTCGCCGCATGTACTCAGACAAGCGATTAATCGTCACAGTCATTATACTCGTAGTTTAAGTCCAATTGATTTGTAGAAATTCAGCTATGCGATAATTATATGTGCAGTTTTGTTTTGTTAACCAAGTTAACCAATATATTTTCTGAACTACAGCATTCGTATTACTTATGCAAATTGAGTAAGGGTCATAGTGTGAGTTGCGTTCGCAAATAACAAAGTGTCAAATTATTTTGAGCGCCGTTCGGAATAAATTTAGTCAAAATCACACACGGAAACACACAAACAACACACAAATACTAGTACTCAATACATATCGCGATTGACCAGTTATATAGCTGCTTGAACTACACACACTAGGACGTAAATATGTAAATACAGGTCACAGTTCGACTTGCGTAGCAAACGTTACAATGTGTCAAGTGATTTGAAGGCGTCTTTGTTCCAAAAATCGTCATTAAAACCTAAATTTATTACGAATAAAAACTTAAATTTATACATACAATGTACGATCATTGTTACTCCAGCGGTCGGTTGGCAAGCGGACGATGTTTCTGAAGCCAGCCATAGCAGGAGCGAGCGAACAAAAGCGAGCGAGCGAGCGAACAAAAGCGAACGCGAGCGAGCGGAAAAAAAGCGGTCGGTTTCCGGTCGGAAAGCAGCGAGCGGTCGGAAAAAAAGCAATAAAAGCGGGAGGTTGGGCGGAATGAGTACTGTATGATGCATGTATAAAACTTACTGAATGTGTTCTAAGAATAGCAAGTATTTTATGTAAAGCTACATTCCAGAGTTCATCAAGGTATTCTCTTGTAACCAATCCTTGGGTCGTACTAAGAACATGGTCTTCAACAACAAAAAATCTGTAGGAAAAAACATCAAAATCAAAAAGAGCGTTAAAAAACAAGTCATTGAAAATGACACAGTCCCCGTTAAATTTTTGAAAGTTCTCTTTGTGCTTGTCATATTAAAGCTGAGGGGTTGTCCTTGAAACTTGAATGAGTTCCAAGTGGCATATACAACGGATTGTTTATTTACATCAAAACATGTGTTCCGTGTAGTAGTAATATGGCCAAAAATAAAAACAGCCGTTATTCGGCCATCTTTGATCTGATTATGAAACACACTGATATGTATGATGTACATGTATGTGCCAAATACGAATGAAAAAAGTAGATAAATTGTGGAAATATAGTAGTAAGGCCAAAAAGTCAGATGGCTGTCAATCGGCCATCCTTGACCAGATTTTGAAACAAATTGTCGTGGACATGCATCCTAAGCCAAATTTGAATGAAAACTGACAGAGCACGTCCAAGACACCGCATAAAAAAACAGAACAAGATGCCTGCCAGTTGACCATCTTTGATCCAATTGCGAAATAAATTGTCATGGACATGTATCCTAACATGTATAATCTATGTACCAAGTTTGAATGACAACTGACAAAGCACAACATTTTCAAAAAACAAGATGGCTGCCAGTCGACCATTTTGAATCGAATCGCTAAACCACTGCATGTGCATATGTCCCACATAAGGTACTAGGCACATGCAAAGAATGAACGGAATCGGTCCAAGGGATTCTGAGATATGACTCTGGACGGACGCACAGACGCACGAACGGAGACCGAATTATAAGTCCCTGTTTTCGGACTTCGTTCGAACGGGGACTAATAAATTAGCAATGTAATTCTCATTTTCATCACCTTTATAGCAAATGATGTGTAGAAGGAAATAATTACAAAGAAATTTAGACATGCATGACATATATCATTATTGCTACATGTAACCATGTACTGTAATGCCTTAAGACATACATGACATATATCATTACTGCTACATGTAACCATGTAATGCCTTAAGACATACATGACATATATCATTACTGCTACATGTAACCATGCAATGCTTTAAGACATACATGACATATATCATTACTGCTACATGTAACCATGTAATGCCATAAGACATGCATGACATATATCATTACTGCTACATGTAACCATGTAATGCCATAAGACATGCATGACATATATCATTACTGCTACATGTAACCATGTAATGCTTTAAGACATGCATGACATATATCATTACTGCTACATGTAACCATGTAATGCTCTAAGACATGCATGACATATATCATTACTGCTACATGTAACCATGTAATGCTTTAAGACATGCATGACATATATCATTATTGCTACATGTAACCATGTAATGCCTTCAGACATGCATGACATATGTCATTATTGCTACATGTAACCATGTAATGCCTTAAGACATGCATGACATATATATCATTACTGCTACATGTAACCATGTAATGCCTTCAAACATGCATGACATATATCATTACTGCTACATGTAACCATGTAATGCTTTAAGACATGCATGACATATATCATTACTGCTACATGTAACCATGTAATGCTTTAAGACATGCATGACATATATCCTTATTGCTACATGTAACCATGTAATGCCTTAAGACATGCATGACATATGTCATTATTGCTACATGTAACCATGTAACGCCTTAAGACATGCATGACATATATCATTACTGCTACATGTAACCATGTAATGCCTTAAGACATGCATGACATATATCATTATTGCTACATGTAACCATGTAATGCCTTAAGACATGCATGACATATATATATATCATTACTGCTACATGTAACCATGTAATGCCTTAAGACATGCATGACATATATATCATTACTGCTACATGTAACCATGCAATGCTTTAAGACATGCATGACATATATATCATTATTGCTACATGTAACCATGTAATGCCTTAAGACATGCATGACATATATATCATTATTGCTACATGTAACCATGTAATGCCTTAAGACATGCATGACATATATATCATTATTGCTACATGTAACCATGTAATGCCTTAAGACATGCATGACATATATATCATTACTGCTACATGTAACCATGTAATGCTTTAAGACATGCATGACATATATATCATTATTGCTACATGTAACCATGTAATGCCTTAAGACATGCATGACATATATCATTATTGCTACATGTAACCATGTAATGCCTTAAGACATGCATGACATAAATTATTACTGCTATTAAGAATAATGTAGCAATATGAATCTGAGTAGACTTACCCTAAAATTTGATGGAAGTATTTCATATAACCACCTAAAGATTCATACTGTGAAACAGATAAACAAATACAAGGTATATAGAGTGAAAGAAAACATTAATGTGCTCAATGTAAATTTCAGAGGTGTTTATTTAGTCAAAATAAGAAATATTTTAAGCATTCAATGTTCACAAATGCATTGGTTTATATGCTCTACTATTTGAGATGCACTTTTCATAGAGCAAATATAATAGTTCTGATTTCTAAACATAAATAAATACTGGCATGTTGTACGAATGGGACTGAATAAAAATGTACCCTTCTTCTAATTATAAAACATGCACCCATGTCATTAAAATACCGAAAAAAAAACAAAAAACATTTCGGGTGAAATCATATTTAAGAAATGATTCTAAACTTTAAACAAGCAGCCTCTCGGCTGAGATAGCTCTGCTGTTAGCAATGCACATTTCAATTAAAGAACAGAAGATATCATTAGAAAATGAACAATATATATAGTATCAAAACAATCAGACTTGCGGTTTTCAACAAGAAGTGGAAAATGTCACTTTTTACCAAAAAATACAAAAATATTCATCAAAATTAGAGAATTAAAGATAGCATTACAAAATGAACAAATCTGAGAGAGGTCCACATGTAGTACTTGTATATGTAATATCAAAGCAATTGAACTTACAGTTTTCAACAAGAAGTCGAAAATATCACTTTTTACCAAAAATGACAAAAATATTCACCAAAATTAGAGAATTAAAGATATTATTACAAAATGAACAAATCTTAGAGAGGTCCATATGTAGTACCTATATATGTATTATCAAAGCAATTGGACGTGCGGTTTTTAACAAGAAGTTGAAATATCACTTTTTACCAAAAATGACAAAAATATTCATCAAAATTAGAGAATTGAAGATATCATCATGAAATGAACAAATCTGAGTTATAACCACACATAGTACCTATATATGAATATCAAAGCAATCAGACTTGCGGTTTTCAACAAGAAGTTGAAGAAAACATCCCTTTTTACCAAAAATGACAAAAATATTCACCAAAACTAGAGAATTAAAGATAGCATTACAAAATGAAGAAATCTGAGAGAGGTCCACATGTAGTACTTATATATGTAATATCAAAGCAATTGAACTTACAGTTTTCAACAAGAAGTCGTAAATATCACTTTTTACCAAAAATGGCAAAAATATTCACCAAAATTAGAGAATTAAAGATATTATTACAAAATGAACAAATCTGAGAGAGGTCCACATGTAGTACCTATATATGTAATATCAAAGTAATTGGACTTGAGGTTTTTAACAAGAAGTCAAAAATATCACTTTTTACCAAAAATTACAAAAATATTCACCAAAATTAGAAAGTTAAAGATATCATTACAAAATGAACAAATCTTAGAGAGGTCCACATGTAGTACAAATATATGTAATATCAAAGCAATTGGACTTGCGGTTTTTAACAAGAAGTTGAAAATATCACTTTTTACCAAAAATGACAAAAATATTCACTAAAATTAGAGAATTGAAGATATCATCATGAAATGCACAAATCTAAGAGAGGTCTACCCAAGGTACATATACATCAAGTATCAAACCATTCAGGCTTGTAGTTTTCAAGAAGAAGTCGAAAAAGTAAAACATTGACACGGGCAACGACGGACGCAGGACGACGACGGAAAATCAACAGTGGAGCTAAAAACGAATATATTACTGTTCATTTCCCGAAGCAAATTAGAGTGATTCCTTGGGTAGAACACTGAGTTACAATGTTTCAAATAGCCTTTCATCTTCTAATATACTGTAAAATGATTAATTTTCACTGGGTTAAAATTTTGCTGATTTACCATCTCAGGCATATTCAGTGGGTTTAAAATTCACGGTTTTATCATTTAGATTATGTGTTCTATCCTAAATTTTACATATTCACTGGGTTTTAATTAAGCACATTTTCTAGTCAGGGAAATAAGCAAAATTAAAACCAAGTTAATAATTAACCCCTTTACAGTACATGTACATGTACATGTACATGTAATGCAGTCAGCTCCCCCCCCCCTAATGCAAAGCAATTCAATTCTTAAACTGCCATACAGTACACTATTTTTTGCATTAAAATCTGTAATCATTTTGTTAAAGACCTACCATGTTATTAGGTGGTTGTAGTGCTAACTTGGCTTGTTTTTTCCTCTGTGATCTGTAGTAAGTTTCAAAAGTTTCCCTGGATCCCAATACAGAGTAGATATGAAGACATCTATACACTGGTGCAAAGTCTATCATGTTCTGGGCATTCATTTCCTGCAAAGAACACATCATGACATCACTGAGTAAGCACAAGGTAAGTAACACAGCATGGCATCGCTGAGTAAGCACAAGACATGTAACACAGCATGGTATCACTGAGTATGCACAAGGTAAGTAACACAGCATGGCATCACTGAGTACGCACAAGGCAAGTAACACAGCATGGCATCACTGAGTAAGCACAAGGCAAGTAACACAGCATGGCATCACTGAGTAAGCACAAGGCTAGTCAAACAACATGGCATCACTGAGTAAGCACAAGGCTAGTAACACAGCATGGCATCACTGAGTAAGCACAAGGCTAGTAACACAGCATGGCATCACTGAGTAAGTAACACAGCATGGCATCACTGAGTACGCACAAGGTAAGTAACACAGCATGGCATCACTGAGTAAGCACAAGGCTAGTCAAACAGCATGGCATCACTGAGTAAGTAACACAGCATGGTATCACTGAGTACGCACA